TTGCGCATCTCAATTCGGCTTGAAACGGTGCCATTGAAGTTTGCGACTGATAAGGCCAGAGAGGGCAGAACAAACGCTGGGCGCCCGGCATCCCACTTGGCACGGCATTTGGCTTATCAACTTATCGATAGGCGGCGGGCGGCTGTCAACTGGCCCAACACAGGTCCGGACCCGTTCATGGCTTTTCTGCTTTGGCTTTGCCTTGGCTTTTGCTTTTGGCTCCGGTTTTTTGTTCCATGCGTCTGGACACCCGACACGCACCCCCCCTTCCGTACCCTCTCGTTTTGTAGTCGTCTGCCCAACCTGCTTCTGCCTCGTCTTGAAGGGTCCTGACTTGTAACTACTATGTCCTGCATCATCTCATCCTGTGAGCCGCCCTTTTGGTCGCTCGCCTGCGCCACCCTAGCCAGGAAAGCTAAACCCGAAGCGGCATCGTCACACTCATTGTTTCGGTTTCTGAGTGGCTCTCATGCTCTGTGACCCCATATCTTGTGACTCACCTCGTAGACTCCTTCTTCCACTTACACTGTACGGAGTTCTCCCTCGGACCTATCTTTCATGACCGGCCTCGACGAGACACCTTTGTGCCTTTGCCCGCTCCTCTCAATCCAGTTTAAAACTTGCGCCTCTGAGTACTCCGTAAAGGCAGGTGGTTCGTATCAGCTAGGAACTCGTGTCACCCAATGGTAAGCGTGAGGCGGCCACTTCGGCGTCACCTTGCCTGGTGCAGACTCATCATAGGCTCTAGTGTGCACAGTGATATGCGATCAGAGAAGCTGTTGTCACGCGGCCCGCTCTCGTTGGATGCGCTAGAAACGACATTGGCCAATGGATTCTTCATCGAGGCGCCGAGTCGTCAATTGACTCTCCGTGAGGCTTCTGCCCATTGGCAATCTCATGCCCACCTGGTGCAGGTTCCTGTACACCATATGGCACAGGGTTGGGAAGGGAAGGGTTTGACAGCGGCCTTGTCCAAACCAGTCAACCCGTTGTCAGCCTCAGTTATGGTGAGTAGCCGTCCTAACACTCGCGTCATGTACCGAGAGTGTTAGGGCTGTCCTCTGGAGTTGTCCATGGCTATGTTCTAAAAATCTCAAGGCTAAGCGAGAGTGGTCTTTTTTAAACACACAACGCCATAGAAATGCTTGTTTTTCTTTTCTTCTTTTTTTTTCTTTTTCCTTAGATAACCCATATTTCACTCGTGGGTGGAAGCAAAGCCACTAGTATATGCAGTATTTGGTGAATGATGGCGTTCCAGGCCAACGGATGATGGAGCGTGGTCCACTATTGGGATGCGATTTAGGCAGCCAGGGGCCCATTCGGCTCCGCATTTCTATTTCCAATACTATCGTACGGTACGGCGGTGTATGACATGTAAGTGGCATGTGCCCCAGTATCAAAGTCCCTGTGTTTTGTGCAGTCGGGCATCTCTCGGGGCCATTATCTGGTTAGATCCTGTTTTGTGCGGCATAGCGAGCCGCATCATGGTGTATGTATCGAAACCAACAGCCAAAGTGTTTGCCTCGATTCTGATAAAGGCGATAAGGGAGGCGTCGGCGGGCCGCGTCGAGCGGTAGCACGTAAAAGAACGATTGGATCGCCGCCATGGCCATGCCAACAAGACACCCTTTTTCAGCATGGGTCCCCCTCCCCTTTCACTTGCTGAATGTTACGCAGCCGTGACCCCGGATGACGGCCACCTGCGGATGTTGGACGCGGGCCATGGGTGGAAAGGGTGTCAAGGCAAGAGCTGGTCGGACTGTCAGTGGGCAAAAGAACGGCTTATGCCAGGTACCCTTTCGTCAACCTTGCGTGCTGCTACCTTGGCCTGTCGAGGTTGAGAGCGGATGGTCATCTTATGGTAGACTTTGGGGAGAGATCACATGAGCGTTAGCAGTCGAAAGGTGTGCAGCAAGGCGAGTTGATGCTGGCTGCCTATGTACCTACAATAGCTAAGGTAGGCAGATATCGTAGGGCGGCCATGGGCGGCGTGTAGGGAGAGTATCTGGTAGGCATGTGCATGGCCACGGCCTCTGGCACCCAGAGCAATATTGCAGGAAAAGTTCAAGAATTGGTCCAAGACTTGGAGTTGGTTACACACGTCCGTCTTGCAGCCCTGATGGCTTGAGGTTCTTCCCGGTGCGAACTACATTTAGAAATGGCAGGAGGAACCGCCGGCGGCTTCCCGTGTTTGATATCCCCAATGCGGTCTCAATGCAGGAGCAGCAGGCAGAACTCCCAAAAGGCACACTTCAACACAGCCGAGTCCACCGTCCAATCAGAATGAGCATGGCCAAAGACCCAAGGTCCACGTTCAACGCCAGCTTCAATGTTGTGTGTCCGGCGAGCGCAGGCCTGCCCAAGTCAATTGTGAAGAGTCTAGGACTATAGAACGAAACCTTTGTCCTGTACGACGGCCGGTTTCACCCTTGGCCATCACGTCTGAACTGCTGTCCATGAGCCGCAAATACCACGGCATGCACCGGCACTCCAAGTGACTCTCCATCGACCCCAATTGGCCGTATCGATAACAAGCCATCCCCTCGTGGTCGCAGCAAATCACACCCCCGCTTCGCCGGTGTGCCTGATGACCTTGGGCTGGCGACAGCACCTGACTGGCTGAAGGAGGGTTAGCGAATTTAGGTGGGGAGTGCGGATAGCGGGTCATGTTGGAGGGACCTGAAGGCGAGGAGGAGCGGGCATGGACATGCCAGTCGCGGATCAATGCGAATGAATACGCGCAACCCAGAATGTTGACCTTTGGCATCAATGCTTAGCTGGTGCTTGCTAATGGTAAAAATAGGGCCATTGGCAAAGAACAAAGGGCTGGACGGAGTGAAGAGTTGGCACAGTGGATTGTGCCGTGTGCTATGCGTTGGCGTGTATTGTGTATTATTCGGTACAAGACTTTGTGCACTGCGTGCATTGCACTTGAGCGAGACCACATAGTCGCCGCATTGTCCAGCACTGTGCATTCCGATACTGTAGGGATGGTCCTTCCATTTCAGATTCCATTCGCCCCTTTGCTCTGCTTCGCTCAATGTCGTGGCATTGGACATTGCATATACTACATTACGCCTTGCATCATAAAGCATGTGCCAAAGCGCCGGTGAATGTGCTCCGTACCAACCTGGTAGGTACGTACCTAGGTAGAGTTCCCTCAATTTTGGTTCTAGCCCGCCAGCTTTGTCGCGTCGTCCATGGTTCCATGACCACTTTCACAAGCTTTCCACTCCGCAAAGCCGTAGTTCACGTCACATTTCACAATTCGCTCTTTGTACCGAGTGCGCCGTACTGAACTACCTAGGTACTTATCAGCGTGTTCCATCCTCGGTGCTCAGTCTTTGTTGCAACGCAAAAGCCTTGCCCTCGAGTTGTTCAAGCCATTGGGCTTGGGCTCCTGGGTATATTCTAAAATTATGCCCCGCCCCCTCCATCGCTGGGCGCACACCCTGCTGGTCGCTCCTACTGCCGTCCTTCTCGCGCCGTCACTCGCGCCGTCACTCGCACCGCACCAACTTTACATTTTTCTTACGGCGTAGACTTGCAAGGCAATCCACTGTCTTCTACTCTGATCTTTGTAAAACAATCCTCTTGTTCTGGCAAACACAAGTCACGGCCAATCTGCCCTTTTTTGCTCTATTACCCTGTCTTGCCCGTGTCTACTTGAAGCGTCTTGATGGTGGCATTGCTCTGTCATCTGTCGTGACTGCCCATTTCTAATCCATCTCTCCTCCGTCAAGTACTTCATCTTTGGTCTTCTGGCCACTTTGTCTTCGTCTCCTTTCCCATCACCATCATCTGCCGCTTTTCCGGGGAAATTTCGCTTTCATTCATCAGTACTCGCCACGACGAACTAATGGTAGCCCTGGTTACATCACCTTGACTGGATCTCAACAAGGGCCCCAGTCGTCAGCAGCGGCAAATATTGTACATACATACAACACAAGCCCATTGAAGGCAAGCGACATCATCTCACCCCCGTCGACTCAATCAGCGGCTTTGCGGTTTTCCAAGTCTGCTGCTGCCTTCAGCTTCTCAAAGCAACCAATTCTATCAGCCTCTGGCCTTCAGCATTGGGGATTCCTGTCAGCTCTTCCTTCAGCCAGTCGAGCTGCGACCCTTCCGGGGGGTGTGCGTGCGTTTCATCGTGTGTTCGTGTGCCTGCGTCCGCTTTCCTTTGCTGGCCGCCACATCGCTTATTGCCTTCTATTACCAGGTCGCCCCAGAGGTCGTCCACTTTGGGTACCAACGAACGCCTGCTTTGTGTCAGAGTCATCGCATTGGCATCAGTCATCCTCTGTCATTTGCCAGGCGTTACGGAGAGCTGCCTGTTGCATTTCCATTCGCAGGACCCGCGGCGAAGCCTTAAAGCCCCTGGCAAGCCCCGTTGTCGCCTGTTTGTTAGCCTGGCTTCCTCAGTCGTGCGCTTCTCCATCACAATCAGCTGTCCCCATTGCATCCAGCCGTTGAAATAACACGATAGCCCCATGAACCGCGTGGTCAATTGCGTCTTTACTCATCATCTTGGCAACTGACGCTGGCGACATTGAACAATTGAGCCGGGTGATTGGATCGTCTACTCACGCTCACACGGCTCACACCTCAAATCCGCACACTGTCTACCAGTTGCGCCACTAAATCAATCAATCAATCAATCAATCAATCAACCCACACCCCCTCCGCTGTCTTCGTCTCCCAGCAAACGCGATCTGCCTTGAACCTTACGCTACCACTCCCACCGCCAAAATCGGAGCAAACCACGAAACGATAAAGACGGCTCCCCCCCTTCTCTTTGTTGGATTTGGCTTTCACTGTACAAGCTTAGTTTATTACACCGTTTCCGAAGTTTCCAAACTCCGGCGGATAGTAAATTTCGGACTCGGGCACTGTATCTCCGACTGTGGCTGCTGCCTACTCAGACAGCTCCAGAGCGGTCTTCGCCACTCGTCCACGTCACTGTGTCTACTTGTCAGAGGTGACAGCCCAACTCACACGCAATGGCTGACAAACCGACAACCAGTCAGGCGCACACTTCCACCACCTTCGATAAGGACAAGCAGCCTGCCGTGACTACAACTCAATCATCTTCATTTTCTTTGACTGATCTCGCTTCCTCCACCTCTTCCTCTCCTTCAATTTTCTTCCCCTTTCAACGTCGATTCTCCAATCCTCCAATGGCATCAAATTCACCATCCGCCGACAAGGCGCACTCGTCAATGGCTCCGCCGCCACCGCCAATGGAGTCCAAGAAATTCGACATTACCAGCCTCATGTCACCGCCCGACGTCGTGCTCGACAGCTTTCATCATGGCAATTCCGTATTGAACAAGTCAGGCGGTGCCAATGGCAAACAGTCATCGTCGCAGCAACCGCTGCCCATGTCACCGGCCCCCACGCGCTCGCCCCCCCCCCCCCCGCCAATGGAGTCCAAGAAATTCGACATTACCAGCCTCATGTCACCGCCCGACGTCGTGCTCGACAGCTTTCATCATGGCAATTCCGTATTGAACAAGTCAGGCGGTGCCAATGGCAAACAGTCATCGTCGCAGCAACCGCTGCCCATGTCACCGCCAATCTCGCCTTACAGCAAACCCATCTCGACGACTAGCACCCTGCCTGTAACTCCACACAGCCAGGCCATCAAGGACCCCGTTTTGTACCCTACCGACGAGCACGCACCGGCCAGTCCTCCGCAGCCTCCATTGTTTGCTCCCGCTGAGCTTGAACACCAACGCATCGTTGACGAACACGTTCGCGCCCGGTCGCAGAGTATTTTCAGCGGCGTCACGCCACCCAAGAGAGAAGATTACGAGCTGGTCCTCACCTTCCGATCTCAGGTTATGACGCACTTCACCACGAACCGTAAAGGATGGCTCCGCAAAGAACGGGCCCTTCTCGAGGCTGACAGACGGGCCGGCGCTCAGAGATATCATGCAATTATGCCAGCCAAGCCCATTGCCGCCAAACCTCCCCGATCCCAGCGGACTGATCGAATTTCCAAGCCTCATGCAACTCCGAGACCGATTCGCACCAACGCCACAACCGTTGGAACCACCCCAGTGAGACCCGTGGGCCGCACTAGCGCTACTCCTGAACCATCTCGTCGGGTCGTGGCTCCCAATCGTGAGGACAAGGACTTTAACTCACTGCCTGACTATTGTCCCCCTTTGAACTCACTACCTAATCGCTCCAACAGCCTCAAGGTGGATTGGAAGGGTCAGCCAATTGATCTCAGCAGCGATCCGCACGCCAGTCTGCTTCACCCCGACGAGCTTCTCTTGGCAGGAAACTTGCGCCTGGATTGTGCCACGTACCTCACAAGCAAGCGTCGCATCTTTGAGCGTCGCCTCCAGTGCCTTCGCACGGGCAAGGAATTCCGCAAGACAGATGCGCAGCAGGCTTGCAAAATTGATGTCAACAAGGCATCAAAGCTGTGGACTGCTTTCGAGAAGGTGGGCTGGCTGGAACAAAGCTGGGTTCGTCGATTTCTCTAGACTGAGGGGCACCCACAAACAATCGACTTGATGACGACAGTTGTGCATACGACCACGCATGACATGTCGGGTTACGAGGATTTACTTTGCTCAAGAACAGCGCTTTATGGACTTGTTTAACGATATGTTGATTTAATCAGCCGGTTGGCATTGGACGACATGGATTCGGCTGCGCCGAACGAGCTGCGGCCCCCAACCTACAGCATTTGTTTGATTCATTTTATTACTGGAATTTCTTCTTCTCTATTTTTCCCCTCTTCTTTTATTCTGGTTTGATATGCATTCGGTATATGGCATCACGCGGCACGGCACGGCACGGCACACATGAGCAACTCGATACACAGAGCACTAGGGAACATCACGATACCCCGGAGTGGAATCCAAGCTGACCCCCATTGCGATCTCGTCACTCCACTCCACGTTTTTGATTGATTTGGATCAATTTTCTTATGTCATTTTCTTATTTCTGCTTCCTTGTTCAAGGGTTTCGTCTCTTTTTTTTTTCCAATCTGAGATTGTTTCCCCGACGACTGGGTTGGACATTCTTTACACGGGTCAGGCTGTATGTTTCAGGATATTGCATGTATGGCGTTTTCCTCCATGAGGGCCATTTGAGAATGGGAGATGGCAAGACTGGAGCACTGCCCTCTCTTGAAGAAAGGCACGCTGCATTTCACATGGCGATGGTGACGGATATGTGTTTGGTATGGGGAATTCCTGAGGGGAGCCAGTGGCACAACCCACTTGGCATACATACTCTCGTTGTGTGAACTGGAATAGGTAGATAGTGAGGCTGAGAGTGGTTCTACAAGGCCTGCAGCCATAAATGAGCCAATTTCTTGTTCACAGTGGGCACAAGCGGTACCCAGTAATAAAGATGACGTGGCCAAGATGAGGGTGAGAGGGAGGTGAAGAGTGTGCTGGCCACTGTCGACAATCAAAAGTGAGTCGCGACGTGGCAGTGGGACGGGATCTCATGTCGCAGCGCCGGGTGATGAGGACCCTGCGTCTGGGGATGCATGTCGTTATCGATACTCCGTACTCGGTGCCCAGGATCTTGTTTCCCAGATCTGGCTTCGGACGAGGGCCATTTTAGCTCAAGGAATTTTTTTCAGCCCTACGAAAGGGTGGGGTGTGCTGTCACGAGGAGACATGAGCCGGGGCGTTCTTATCGATATCGATATCAAGATACGGGCCGTTGCGGCTTGACGGGACGACAATCAGGCAGGGGGACGGAAGACAGCCGGAGCCGGAGCCGGGCAGCCCGGGGGTGTACCGACTGAGAGCAGCCAACGCAGCAGAGAGTATGAAGTTGTGTATGGTTGGGAAGCGCGGTTTCTGCCTAGTTTATGCGTGCGAGATGAAGTGAATGCGATGTCTGGCATGAAATTTTGAAGTGCACTGCTAGAGGGGTCGAGGGGCAAGATTTGTGTAGGGTAAGCTGGTGCTGGTGCGCCTTGAGAAGGCTTCATTTTATATCCGGTTTGCTCTCTTTAGCAGGCGCAACGTTTTGTGTACGATATAAACTCTTTTTGAGGGGTATTTGTCAGCGAGTGAGCCGTCTACCGGGCCGCTTTTTCCCCCATTCCTCTGATCCAGAAGGACCAGGAATTAGCGTCTCGCTATCAAGCGTATCAACAATGTTTGTGGCCGTCTTCCCGGCCTACCGGCCTGAGTTGGAAACATATCCGGTTGCCATGTCAGTCTGCTGTGCTTTATTTCGCATGAACTTACGGAAACAAAGGATCTTGTTGGGCCAAGTGTACTTTAGATTTTCTTCCTCTGCATTCTTTAGAAAAAGGACGTTGGACACTATTAACCTGTTACATTCGCCTGCGCGCCGTGGAATGAACGAAAAGGCCTTTTTCTTCATCTGTTATGCTTCTTTTTGCATACTACTTTGAAAAGAAAAAAACAGACATGGCTTATCTGTTACACTTTTCTCCCTTGGGCATCATTTCAAGACCAAAGAATGTTATTCATCTGCCGTACTTGCTACTGCAACGCATGAATTTTAAAAAAACAAATGTCATCCATCTATTCGTCCTCTTCATGTTATTTGAAAGAAAACAGACACTGTTCACCCGTTCGTTACACCTCCCTTTCGCATCATCAGACAATGCGCCCTGCCATAGACGGAAACTCCCCGTTTAGGACGGCCCAACTTCTCGCGGCTAGGGTCCTCCTGTCTCGCCAGTCACCATGAGCATCATCTACAAACATCCAAATAACACGGCTCCCATATGTCACCAAGGCCACCACAATGGGCATGGACGACCAAGGTGCGTTTGTCACGCCCCGTCCCGTGCATCTCCAGCGTTGACCCACGTCGTGCCCACGTCGTTTCCAGAGATTAACGGCAGATTCTTCTCCGTTTCAAGTTGGATAGTTGTAAACAGGTACGTGTCTTGCAAGTGTGTAGTTCCATGTCGACGAGCGAAACATGCCAGCACAACAGGCAAGACGCACATGTAAATAGCCGACTCACAGCACCATCGTTTCCACCCGCAGTCCTCCCCCCCTTAATCACGCCGGCATGCCCGTCCCATCACCGCCCACGGGACAAACCACCTCGCAGGCACAAACCGCCGCGCACGCGGCCTTCAGGCACGGCTTACAGCGCTCCTCGCACGCCTTGGGCAGCTGCTCGCCACACGTCCACGGGCACGCGAGGCCAGGCATGGCGACCTGCGAGCACAGCTTCTCCGGCGCGCAGTGCGGCGTGAAGTCGACGGGATAGCAGCGCTGCGAGTCTTTTCCGTTCGGGGGATCCAGGGGCAAGCCGACCGCGGCGCCGATGAGAGCAACCACGAGCAGCTTCATTGAGAGCGTGTACGGTGCGGACCTGGGTGTATTGCAAAGATGTTGCTTGGGACGGTTGGATAGAAAAAGGGAGCGTGTTGGCTGCCCCCCCTTTTCGTTTTTTGGATAATCGGTGCCCGCCTGGGCTTTTATAGGTTTTTATACGCGAGCCGCCGCCATTACTCAACTGAGACATACCGGTGGTCGAGGAATGGGACCCGGCACGAGGCTGGAGGTGCATGTCTCATTTCGAGGCCTCGTTACCGTGGACGGAGCACAGGGGATATAAATAGAAGTTTGCGGATATGTGGTTCGGTAGGGCGTGCCTGGATACCAGGGGAGGGACAGACATGGTGGCTGCGAGTGTCTTGGTCGAACACGCGGAAAGGGGCTCAAAATAGCTGAAAACGAAGCGTGTTGGCGTGATTCAGTAACGCGGCTGGACGAGTACCAAAGTTCGTGCCCTGCTATTCCTCGCCACGCGTCCTTCTTGTGCAGATACGTAGGCATTGGATGCAAAGCTGCGGCCCCTTGCACAAAACATCATGTCGAAGCCACCACTGACTGACAAGGGGCTCCGGGATACATGGGCAGATGGATATATACACACTGTCTGGCCAGCCCGTCCATCCGTCCCTTCGTGACAAGTTATACCCATAAGCAGGACCAACGTCGTGAGCCCATGGTATTAATACACTCAACTCCCTTGTCCCCCTTTTTTACTTGACTTCTATGTGCTGCACCGCCTTCAACCATTTCTGCTCATCGCTCCTGGACAAACGTTAGCCCTCCCACGTCAGACTCGCATCTCAGAAAAGACCAAAAACTACTTACTTGTCAAACTTCAACAACTTGCCCAGCACAGGCACCAACTGCGCCCTCAGTCTCCCGTCCCTCTGCTCCAGAAACTGCAGCAATATCGTCTTCAAGTACATGGTATCGCCGCTGCCCGCCGCGCCGTTGCCCCCATTGCCGCTCCGCGTCGAGTCCATGGAACTGCGACTCAAGCCCGCCACCAGCTTCGACTGCGCCGTCTTCAAGTCCCTAGCGAGCTTCTCGTAGCGCTGCCGCGAGTCGTCCAGCATCTTGCGCAGGTCGCCGCGCTGCTTCTCGCCATCGCGCAGCTGCGTCTCCGACGTGTCCAGCGCAGACCGCAGCTGCGACACCGTCATGCGCATCTCCTCCGTCTCCGCACACGCCTTGGACTCGATGGCTTCGAGCTCGTCCCGACGCCGCTTCCACTCCCTCTGCCGCTCCTCGAGCTCGTCGCGCTCGTTGGTCAGCGACTTGACCTCGCGCTCGAGTTCGCGAATCTTGCCCTTCAGCTCCTCCGACTCGCGCGCCTTGCGCCTCGCCAGCGTGCTGGACTCGTCTTCGATGCGCTCGCGTTCTTCAATCGCCGCCTCCATGCGCCCGCGCATCTCGCGGACCTTGCTGTCTGCGCGCTCGTCCACGTCTGCCAACAGGCGCCGCATCGTCTCTCCCTCACGCGTTCGCTCCTGCAGCAGCCGCTGCACCTCTACCAGCTCCTCCTCCAGCGACTCTGCCTGCGACTTGGATTCCTTCAGCTGCACAGACAGCTCCGTGGCTTGGTCGCGCATGCTAGTCAACAGGCCCTGTGCGTTGGTGTACTGCTGCGACTTGAATTCCGCTTCCTCCTGTGCTGCGGCCTTTTCTCTGCGCAGCTTGTGCATCTGCTCCTCCAGCTCCTTGACACACGGGCGCAGTTTGTTGAGCTCGTCCTGTGCTCTTTGTAGCTCGCGTTCCATCTTTTCGGCCTTGGCACTGAGCTCAATCTTGTCGGCCTCGGCCCGTCGTAGATCCTTCTCAGCTGCGCGCTTGCCGTCTTCCGCCCTTTGTTTGTTGCTCCCCTCGGACTTGAGCTTCTCTTGTAGGCTCTTGATCTCCTTTTCGCCATCAGCCGCCAGTTGCTGGGCTTTGCTGACGTCGCGCTTCAGCTCCGACTCCCTCTTTTCTGCTGTCTTGAGCTCCTTGATTTTGGCCGCAAGTTCCTCCTTGGTTGACTTTAATTCGGCCGACTCTTGTCTTAAGCTCTTTAGCTCTGGCTGTGCCTTCTGCAGCACTTCCCTCAGGTCCGTCAGGTCTTTGAACCGGGTCTGAGCTAGCTGTTGAGCAGCGCCCAAATCAGACTGCAGCGTAGTCGACTTGTCCCTGAGATCGTCGTATTCCTTTCGTAGAGCGTCCAGGTCCTCTTGAAATTTTGCGTTGGAAGTTGCATTGGACTTTGACGATCCAACTTGGGCCTCGAGCTCGGCAATATGTTCCTTGAGCTTGGCCTTCTCTTGCTCGAGCTCCTTGATCTTCTCCTTTGCTTCAACGTGGTCTTGTCCAATGTTGACCAGGTTCTCTCGCAAATTCTCAATCTCCTCTCGTAGATCTTCCTCTGTCTTGCGCCTCTTGGAAAGCTTCTCGATTTGCTGGTCCTTTTCTTCGACCGCAGTCTTGAGCTTGGCAATCTCAGCCTCAACGGAAGCAAGGGCTGCACCGTCCGGCTTTTCAGCAGCTTGCTTGGTCTCCTCCTCTTCAGCTGGAGGCGGAGCTGCCGCAGTAGCACCACCGCCGCCACCCTTGCCCTTCTTCTTCTTGTTATTCTTCTTTTTGGAGCCTCCAGCCGCAGGAGTTGTCGCAGGAGTTGGCTCGATGGTAGCGGGTTGGGATGTAGCAGGCGAATCCAGTTTCTCAGTGAGCTCCTCAATCTTTGCCAAACTCTCCGACTTGTCCTTTTTAAGACCCTCGATCTGGGTGTTAAGGTCGTCAATCAGCTTCTTAGATATCAATTTTGCATTATTAGCCTTGGTAAGCTCAGCATCAAGCTCACCGGCCTTCTTGTCCGACTCGGCGAGAGAGGCCTCAACATCTTTGACCCTTGACGCGTGCTCTTTCTTATTCCTCTCCACCTGGTCCTCTAGCTTCTTCAGCTCTGACTGTGCCGCGTCCAACTTTTCAGCCAGTGTCCTGATTTCCGCGTTCCGTTCGTCGAGCTCATTTTGTAGCGATGCCTGTGATCCGGAAGCTTCCCGAGACTCGCTCAATGCCTTGCTCGTCCTCTCTAAATTTTCTGCCAAGCCAGCGCTGTTCTCCTTGGCAATGGACAGCTCTTTTTCAAGATCTTCCACTTTGCCCTTGAGCTGCTCAATTTCTTCCGTCTTGGACGCCACCTCGGCCTGTAACTGGGGAATTTCTTCGTCGTAGGAGAAAAAGTCCTCGCTTTCTGATTTGCCCTGGTGGGCATCCTGCGCCTTCTGCTTGGGCGAGAACATGCTAATGACGGACGCAACAGGGGACTTGACCTTTTCGGCAGCAATATCAATGCTAGCGCGGGCAGGTGGTTCCAAAGACTTCCGTTCGCTCGACTCGGCAGCAGCCTCGGTAGATTTACCACTCTTGAGAGTTTCCAATTCCTCCTGCGCCTTCTTGAGCTTCTCTTCGGTCTCGGCGTGCTTTTTCCTGAGTTCTTCCTTGTCGGCAGACACCTTCTTGAGCTCGTCCATGACCATGTCGCCTCTCAAGTTCAATTGGTTGAGGTATTCAACAAGCGAGTCCGGGTCGTTGATGGAGGTAAGGGGCGTATTCTCGCGCAGCGCCTTTTCAAAGGGCTCAATAGCTGTTGCGCGCTTGTGCGCAACCCTATAAGATCGCAGGAGCTCTGTAACAAATCATCAGCACATCGCTCAATAAATTACAGCCTGTGAATCCCGCATACCCGGATACGTAGACTCCAGTTTTTCTAGCTTCCTCAGCCGCTGTTTAATCTCTGGGCTCAACTCCGCAGGCGCGGGAGCATCTCCGGCCTCCTCCGACTTGCCATCTGCGTGCTCCTTATCCGTATTCGCGCCGTTGGCCTGAGACTTATCTCCCTGCTCACCCTTTGGAGCAGACGTTCCGCCTCCATCAATGTTATCCTTCTCAGGGGGCGGGGGCGGGGGCGGTGCGGGTGTCCCCGAGCGACTGGGCTCGTCACTATCGTCAATGACAAAGGCGGCCTCGAAGACGGCCGGGTCCGGGTTCGGGGCCGTCGAGTCAGTTATATCGGCAGACGGCTTCTTTGGCCGGGGTCTACGTCCGGCGGGATTGGCGTCACTCCTGTGAGACGACGTCGATCCGGACCTCGAAGGGGTTGCGCTGTCGACAGCCTTCTGGCGGGCTTGCTCCTCGGCAATGGTGCGGTCGATGGCGCCTCTGATTCTCTGCGCGGGGGAGGACGGCAGTTAGTATCATGGGTCAAGCGAACAGAATCTTTGTAGAACGATGGCGAACAGGGATAGAGAGACCAACCTGGAACATTGTGCTCGTTGGCGCTGGCCAGGCCGCGGCTGACCAGTGGACAAGTGGTGTCTAGGAATCGGAATGCGCAGGCATAAGGAACGCAGAGCAGAAATACAGAGAGGAGAGTGGTACAATGGACAGAAGAAAGGAAGATAAAACGGATTGCACTCGTGAATGGGCTATACACTCATTGCGTCTGCTCTCAGAAACCGAACGTTGCACAGAGTGACAATATTGAAAGTTGACACTTTCTTGGAGTTGGTCGATCCCCTGGTCATCCCGGCAGCTGCAGATGTGGCTGATACTGAGCCACAGGCCTGCGCTTGGCTCGCATCAAGCATTGAACAGGGAGAGCTGTTCGGGCTGCCATCTGCCTGAAAACTACTCCTCCGTGCTCTCAAACATTTTTTTTTTTTTCTTCTCTTCTTCTTCTCCTTCTTCATTTTTTACAGGCATCCCTCTCATTGATCCTCCGTATCAAGATTAGGCACCACCCCAAAGCAGTTCTCAGCGATACGCGCCGTTGGGTAAAGTGTGGCTGGTGCTCTCCGCCACACCTCTATCAATCTCCAGCTAAGCTGCCAGCTCAGCTCGAGCTTCAACATCACCCACTGTGCTCCCAACCTTTTTTTTTTTTTCTTCTCTTCTTCTTCTCCTTCTTCATTTTTTACAGGCATCCCTCTCATTGATCCTCCGTATCAAGATTAGGCACCACCCCAAAGCAGTTCTCAGCGATACGCGCCGTTGGGTAAAGTGTGGCTGGTGCTCTCCGCCACACCTCTATCAATCTCCAGCTAAGCTGCCAGCTCAGCTCGAGCTTCAACATCACCCACCACCCACCTGGCTCCTCTCTCGCCAGTCTCCTCGCCCACACTCCGGAGCCCGAGCGCCAACATGGTCTCCCTCTGGCCCTGGAAGGCAAGAAATTGCCCTCCATCCTCCCACTAACACCCCTCACCGCTAACTCAAAATCATCCAGGGCACCGACTCCTCCCCCGAGTCCTTCGAAAAGACGCTGTCCTCACTGTCCTCCAAAATCACCACCTCCCAAACCCGCCTCGACCGACTACACACCAGCGCGCGCCGGACCAAAGTCCTATGGACGCTCTACCTCAGCTTCGCGTACCTCGTCTACGCCATCGTCCTGCTCCTCGTAGTAGGCCACAAGAACCTAGGCGCCTACGAATGGACCGGCATGGCAGGCGGTCCCATGCTGTAATTTTTTTTTACCGGTCCTCGCTTCGCTCGCAGCCCAGACACAGCTAACCAGTAAAAGGATATACGTAGCACGGGCCGTCATCAGCGCCTACTTCAACTTCAGAATCGACTCGCAGGCCACCCGGCTAAAGGGCTACCAGGACGAGCGCGCCAACACAATCCAGAAGCTCAAGGATGCGACCAAGTACGACTCCACCATGGAGCTCATCGAGAAGTACGGCGGGGAGAGGAAGAAGCGCGATGAAAAGGACGCGCAGGAAGACAACAAACAAGACCGGGACAAGGAGGCGAAACGACCTGCCCCCCCAAGCGGCACCGGACGGACGCACTTTCCCCCTCCGCCAACGGCAAACATTGTCCGCCCCGATGCCCGCCAGCTGCCGCCGCCTGCGCCGCAGGTCCAGCAGCACGAGGCCGATGCAGAGTTCGCCCCCAACGCATACGCTTCGCCCCCTCCCCCCCGCACGCAATACATGGACCCCGAAACGCACTGGTATGACCGCATCTTCGACGTCCTCCTCGGCGAGGATGAAACGGCCGCCAAGAACCGCTTCGCACTCATCTGCGAGAGCTGCAGACTGGTCAACGGGCAGGCGCCGCCGGGCACCAAGAGCCTAGCAGAGGTGGGCATGTGGCGGTGCATGGGGTGCGGCAAGACAAACGGGGAGGTGGATGAGGGGAAGCGCATCGTCGAGGAGGTCCTCGGGTCCAAGGAAGCGCAAGCTCGGGAGGAAGACGGAGCCGAGGCAGAGCCCCAAGTCGCAAACGATGCGGGTGCGGAGGAGAACGAGGGCGGAAATAGGGCCGGGGCAGAGAGGTCGAGGTGACGGGCAGCCAAGGACCAGCAGGGTCAGACAAGGCTCGGAGGAGAAACAGGTAAAACCAGGTCTCGGGCGGAGTATGGAGTCAGGGATGTCACACACTGCATCGTGGACTTTTGTTCATTTGTCGTTGCCTCGAGCATTTGGCGTCGTAATTAAAAAAAAAAAAAAAAACAGAAAGGGCGTTATAAGTATCGACGTGGTTACAGTAGGGGTCAGCTCAAAAACGAAGCCAAAGTGCTCAATTGAGTCTTTTTAAAGAGCGCTGAAAATATGTTGAACACGTCGTCACTCGCCCTTTTTATCTTGGGGCACATTCCAGCCATCACATTATATTCATACTTCATCACTGGCCAGCATCGAGCGAGTCGCACCATCAAACACACAAATTTTCTAGAAACGTCCATGCATGGTCTATCTATTCCAGCTCAGTCACGCAAAACCCCATGTGTTCATGGCCCCCCTCTTTGCTCCCGCCCATCCCATGGCATCCATCATCATGTCCCACATCGATATCGCTCAACATTGTTTCCTTCCTACAGCTCATTTGCTCATGTATTTCTGCCACTGGCCTCCCTCTCTCCCCACGCTGCCACTTGGCAAATTGCCTACACCCTGGCCGCCCTGGACATGAACGTAACACGCAGCTGATCCAATATTGAGCACGTCATCCGCTATACCAACCAACCAGGACGGCATGCTGTTAGTACTAGGTAGAGAGAACAGAACTGTCAGTGCAGCAAAAATGACGGCCATTATTCCTTGTTGGCTGGTAACGTCGCCCCAGTTCGTGAGTCTTTTAACCCCTTATCGCTTTCTCACTTCCGTGGCCCATCCCTCGATCCCTTCTCCCCGCCCGCCCACTTCCAGCCCATCAATCTTCAGGCCCTTCATGCCGGGAGTGTCTTCCAGCCACGGGTGGCCTGCCATGCCTCCCGCGTTGGCTCTCTTCTCTGGAATCAACTCTAGCATGGGGACCAGGAATGCGGAGATCCTCTTGGCCTCTTCCTCTTTGAAGTGGTACTTCTCCCGCAGCACGTCTGGTAACGCCCAGTGTCGCAGCCGATGAATATTTCGAAGCTCGCCTTTCCGGTTGAAGATTTCTTGACTCCACTTGCCGCTGAGGCAGAGTGACCGAGGAAATGGTCCCAATAGTTCAATGATTTGCGCAATGTGGTCGTCGTCCTTGCCGTACTTGGTACCAGACTGTGGGTCGAACAAGTAATCGCCTGTGATCAGTTCAAACACCTGGAAACCGACTTGTTAGCGTCTTTCTTCCGGCAATATACCGACAAGTCGTCCGCGCCGTAGGAAGCCAATACTTACCATGGCCGCCATGCTCCAAACATCGGTGCTGGCCCCCCACTTCGCGCCAAGGATAACCTCTGGCGATCGATATTGCCTGGTCTGAATGTCGTTGGTAAAGTGGTGGTTGACCCAGCACGCATTGCCCAAATCGGCAATTTTGACGCTGATGACATCAAAAGCGTGAGCGTCCTCGGCCTTGCGCTTCTCACCCGTTGAGGCTGAAGGCCCGCTCGCCTTATCGAGGGAGATTCCGGACACCTCTCGGGTAAGAATGTCTCTGAAGCAAAGTCAGCAATGCCATACCTCGGCGGGTGGGGCTCGCGATACAACGACGCACGCTGTCTTTTCTCTTTGTTTTTGTGTTTCTTCTGTTGACTTGCGCGATGGCTCGCTATTCCTGCTCGCAGCTACGCAACCCAGTATTGTTAGCACACTGTGTCGCTTATCAATTGACCTCGCACCTCGCGACATGTCAAGTTACCTTGGTCCAAAACGCTACCAAAGCTCGGTGCTGCTGATCCTCCAGGGAACAAATTCGACTGGTTAAAAGTTGAATTCAAGGGTGACGGCAACGGCTGGCTGCCTGTGATGAGGGTCCTGCGTCTCCTCCTTCCGTTGCGGTTGTTCTCCTTTTCTGCCGGCTCGTTCTTGACGACCTTTTTGACAATCTGCTCGACATCGCCGATTTCAATGAGGACGTTTTCGGGCTTCAGATCCGTGTGGATAATACCACATTCCCGGTGAAGGTAGTCAAGACCCATCAAGACCTGCTTGGTGATTTGCTTGACTAGAGGCATGGGGATGCCCCTGTGGTTCCACTTCTTGATCAAGCCCAGCAGGTTCTCGCCAAGCACCTCGAAAACCATACAAACGTGAGTTCCGTGAGGGCCCTTGTGTTCGAAAGAGTCGAGCAGACTGACGACGTGCTTTCGGCCGGGATGGTCGGGGTTGGCTTGGACGATTCGGTTGAGAAGCTTGATTTCATCGATGGCGGTTTCGGTATAGTGAGCGGCGGAGCGAACAACCTTTAGGGCTACATGCTTGCCATTGGTGTTGTCGCGCGACAGCCAGACGGTTGAGAAATGGCCCCAGCCGAGTTTGCGCACGACGGTATACTTTCCATCCTTGAACTTCTCGCCAACCTGGACGGGGTGGTAGCCGCCCTTGCAGTAGTCCTCAGAATCCTCCTCGTCGGCGGTGTTTTCTGCAGGGTCGTCGACAGAGGACGATGATGGCGAAGCAGGCGCGCCAGCGGACAATTGGTGTGATCTATACGATGAACAAGCGCAGCATTAGTAACAAGGTCGAAGCGGGCATGGTGCCGTGGTGGCCAAGACGCGATGGACTAGCGGTGGGCAAAAAAAAAAAAACACACGAGGGCGGCGGTGCCGTGATGGATGGATGATGGGATGGCGGGGGATGGGGCCGGGCCTGTAGAGGGGTAAAGTTGCATGTGCAAGCACTTGAGGCAATCAAGCACGCACAAAGCCAACGATTGATGAAGCATAGATGTCGCGTGCAAAGAGAGGCAAGACGGTCAGGGCAAAAGGCGGCGGGGAGCAGGAGGCAGCATAAGGCAGCAGGAGGCAGAACCTTGACTTGAGAAAGCTCATCTCGACACCATTGCGCGCAGTCGCGCAGGAACGGTGGGGAGAGTTGAAGGACAGGCCGTGGTGCAGGAGAGAAATAGCTACACAGCAGGGTCCAAGGGGAGGTCTGTGTTCGGGAGAGGCAGCAATGTGTGATGTCGAGCAAGAGAAGGAGGATGCGAGACGGCGATGCAGTCCGCGTCTTGAGGGGAGAGACAGCTTGAGCGAGTGTGTGAAGTGCGATGTGTGATGATGCGTGATTGATGGAGGCGACTTGCGGTCGACTTGCGGCCTGCGACGGCGACGGGCGGCTAGCGACTGGCAACTGGCAATTGGCGCTGGCGTGGCACCGGGCGTGGGGGTGTGCTTCAGTGTTGGCGGGTTTTCCAGTGGACCATGGCCAGGGCAGCATTTGATACCAAACATGTACAAATATGTACGTACCAGCATAGTCAATGCTCAACATTGAATCCCCTCCAGTCTGAATGCTCACGGTCCACTGGTCTGAGGCGCTTGCCGAGTCTGTCCAAGTCCAAATGCTCACGGGCAAATGTCAGATGCTCAACCTCCAACATCAAGGCCAAGACGCAGCCACTAGCTGTCCACGAGTTCCCCCCGGGTGGTCTCTGCGCTGGCATCCAGCATCGGGGTTCCTCGATAGCAGAGGGGAAGTTGGGCCCATCCCGTGAGACACCTTTTTTTTTTGGAACTTTCCAAAATGACAAACATATTGCCCGTACATGCCCTCACTTGAGCCGTCAATCGCGCATAACGCCCATTGCGCGCACAATCGTGTGCAACATGTTCCCAGTGCAAGCAAAAATGTAACCCATGCAACGCCAACAGGAAAGAACAACAACATTTTTTGCGCCTTGATATCTTTGGAAGTAAGGGCTCACGAATGGTTTCAAAATCCAGAACAAGAGATATACAAAGGAAAGGCGATGGCATCAATACGCACCCAACACTGTCTTGTTGCTGTTGACTCTGCTTGGACTGCGGCAGTTTGCTTTCCGTGGTGATGATGGGCTTGAGACTCTCCTTCTTGCGCTTCTTGGCCAATGTGTCGGCTCCGTTGGAGCCTGGACTGGCGGTCGGCGCCTCGGGAGGAGGCTTCTCGGGCTCGGCCGGCTGATCACCGTTCATCTTTGTCGCCTCTAGGCTACGGCTGTCAAGGGTCGTTGTCGGTGCTGCGTCGCAGTCGGATGATATGTCGCCAGATCCAGATCGGGGCCGGAAACGCTGACGGCTCGGCGGCTAGGATTTGCTCACAAGGCTTCTGGCGCAAAAGCTGCGAGTGAGAGCGTACGCGTGCCAGTGCAGGTGGGAGAAGCGTGTCTGCCGCAACTCTCGAACTGTACGTGTCTCAAGTGACAAGTCGTCCAAAGCGCGGCTCGGGGGGCTGCGATTCGGTGCTGCGCTTCGTTGCTGCGCTTCAAGCATGTATGGAAATCAATCGTATGTCGGTGATGTTCTGTGTCGTGCGTGGCGACGGCGACGGCGACGGCGACGACAACGGGTGGCTGCGATGTGTTGAAGATGGCGAGAGCAGATTCAAAATGACGCTTTAGCACAAACGAGAATGGTATTTGCTGCTTCTTCTGGTTCGCTTTGCGCCAAAAATGCCTGCCCAAAACTGGAATCTGGACTCGGTGGACTCAACTGGCCCCAACATTGAAAAAGTGGTCTGGTGGGGTCTGCAACTAGAAACTAGAATAATCAAAAGCCTGTTGGGCTGGGAATGACGAAATGACGGTCTGAGAGAGTCCGAGAGTCTGATGGATGGCAGCCCATAGCCTGCCGTTTCAAGTCGTCCTGTCGTGTCTCGGAAGCGCGCCAGAGGTGGCAGAAGAGACACGAATAGACCGAGCCTTGTGGTGCTTGAGTTGTGCTATGCTCATTCATGTCAGCACATGTCTGATACGTACCTGCGCACTGTCGACACTGTCCATGTCGACAACAAGACGCAGCTGAGGGAAGGAGCACAAAAACAGGCGCCGCGACGGCTTCACTCATCACCATCAATCTGGCCACGTTTGAAGCCCTGCATGACTCCCAAGCTCACTGCGTAAACAAAATAGACTCACGCCCAGGCATGGCTATCCAGTCGGCAAGTAGCCGTTCTCTACCGAATTCCTGCAACGTTTGGCCTGTCCAACATTGACCCAGCCATCACCGGCACCCCATCTAGTTTCTGGCTGGACCCGATATCGTACAGAAGCAGGCCCTTGTCCCATCCATGTCGGTCACAATATGTCAAGTCTGGTCTGATATGTCGTGAAGCCGACAGCGTTTGTCCAGCAGGGGCTCCACACTTGGCCATGTGCCTGACGTCACTCCCTGCACCGCACCACAGTGCCAGTCACCTGCCAGACTCTCCAACCCAACATGCAATGGATATTCCCGCATGCATATTGCTTTGCTCCGCCAGTATCAAAATGCCGCCACTTCCTCTCGCTTTAAAAGAAAAGAATCCCCTCCATACAATGCTCCCCACCTGTGCCGGCCTCACGATATCATAGGCATTGTTTTCCCACGGCTACATGTTCTTTTTGGGTGCGTCGGGAGGGTTTCTCGTCATCCTTCTCATGTTTCAAAACTCCCAAGCTTAGCAACTCCTCACCACGATACAGACTCATTGCACTTCTTCTCCAATCGTCTATTTCCTTGACTTGTTCGGGTACCTAAACGCCCTAGTGATTCCAGTTTCAACCCCCCAATAATCTGCATATCATAAAAAAAAAAAGGAAAAGGGCTGGGGAAAATCAACCTCCTCTCCACTCAAGCTTTTCCCCTCACAGCACACTGTTACAGCTACACATGGCTTCAACCCCTCTTCTTGGTCTTTTGCGTCATCTTTCTGAAAGCCTCCATGCCACCCGCACCAAGCGGTCTGTGTTCTGATCCCCTAGCACCATCAAACGTGCTCTTTGGCGCAATGGTGTAACTCTCTGGAAGACTTGTCATGCGTGCGCGGTTGCTAGAGCCAACTGGTGCCAGAATACGCTCGCGCTCGGCATCACGCGCAGACATGGCCGGCCGTTGCGTGAGACTGAATTGTGACCCAATCTTTTGCCGTTGTGCCAGCTTAGCCGCCCTAAAATCATCATGTCAGCCAGCCCGCCTTCCACCCAACAACCACAACAGAGCAAGCAAGCGACAGCTTTCACATACTGGTAATCGTAATCGCGACTCTCAATCTGTCGCTTCTTGTAATCATCCGTTCGCTTCAGAATGGGTCGACTCCATTCTCCCAGTAGCCTCTCAGCCATTCGCTTGATGCTTGGCTCCGGCTTCTTGCTGCGCGTGTAAAACAGTACGACCTTTCCGATTCCGCTGCTGAGAAGAGCTTCTTTTTCAACATTGAGTTTGGTCATTGCAGTGAACAGGTCCCGTTGGATGTTGTATGCCGGCAAGGATCCATCATTCAAGGGCTCCAGAAAGAACTTGACATGTTGTAAAAAGTTAGTGTCCGGGTCCAGGACGGCATGCTGCACGTTGTTTCGGTTCAGGATAGCATTAACTTCAGGAAGAAGCTTCAGCTTATGGAGGGCCGGTTGATTAGATTCCCGCGCTTCGTTGTCAGCTCGACATGCTTTCTCCATCTTGACCTTGAGCTCGGCAAGCTGCTCATCAATCTCATCTTCCAAGTCCTGTAGAACTCTGTTAGCTTAAACGCGCGCGCAAAGCTTTCATGTAGAATTCCCGCTCACGATTTCATCCTTGCGCCGCCGCTTAGTTGTTCCGCCCTTCTTGATAGCCGCATCCAAAGCTCGGTCGATGGCTCTCTTCCTGCGCTCTTCTGGACTCAGCTCCTCTTCGTTCTCAGGCTCAGGAGTATCGGGCTTTGCCCGCCGTCTCTCGCCTTCGCCGGTTCGTCTTGCTCGTCGTGGTGCCTTTCCATCCGCCTCCGATCCATCTTCCATCGCAACATCATCGTCACGGTCTCGTCTCTTCTTCTCGCGACGGCCCTCTCGCGGCTTCTTGGGAGCATCTCCAGCAACGCGCTTTCTTTTGGTGGCCTTGAGCGTACGTGCAATGTCTTCATCGATGTCTACTGGTCGGTCCTCAATATTGGCCGTCTCTGGATCGTAGTCTTCAAACTCGTTTTCGTCGATTTCCGAGAGCGCGTCCGAGTCTCTGTCTGAACCGGCTGCCGCAACCTCATCCTGGAACTCCTGCTCCTGTCCATCATCAACTGCATCGTTTGCAGGTAAATCGGCGGGTGATTCACGGTCAGACATGCTGAGGTGTAGAATGTGCGAAAGGGAGGAATGCAGTAGGTCGAAATCAAAAGCGCCGGCACAGAGCGCGCGGCAGGCGAGCAGGCGAGCAGAATCAAACGACCAAGCTGGGATGCGAGTATTGCAAGCTAAGTACCCACAAGTGAGATATAATACAGAGAGTAGAAGTGGTTGATACTGCGGAACTCGGATAGTCCTCCTGGCTCCCAACATATCTGAATACATATGAAGCCTGCAGCTCGGAGTTTCAACAAGGCCCCGGTCTGCTGACATAATAACCGGCCCACTTTTGGCATTCGAGCCACAGGAAGACCCACTCTGGTTGTTTACTTTCGTCTAGTGGCGTGTATTATGGTTGCCGTTGACGATCTGGAACACCTCAAAAAGAGGTTGACATCCACGGCTTCTCTATTGCTCGCAAGCTGGCTCTGGATTATTCCCTGATAGCCCAAACCCGTCCGTCCACTCGCTTCAATTCCAAATTATGGAAGCAAGATCTTATGAGGGCCCCATGGACTGGGAGTACCAGGACAAGGGCCCTCTAGACCCAACTAGCCCTTTTGCACAAGCTGCAAAGAGTGCACAACGGAATAGTAAGTCCTCGCGCCTCTGTTCCTCTATTTGCCTGGCTTATCAATATCCTGTTGATGGTCACAATTACTTGCGCTACGTATCTAACACAGCGGCTCAGCTCTCGGATCACCATTCAAAACAGCTCGACCTCCGAATCCCTTTGCGCATCTTCAGTCGCCATCAAAATCTCAGTCCAACCTTCCTCAAACGTCTCGGTTTACACCCCAACTGTCCTCGAGAAACACTGCTCCACCATTCCGAAATCCCGCCTTTACGACCCCTAGAAAACCTCTCGATGAGGTTGTCTTTTCTGAAGCATCTGGTGCGGAGGATAGCCCAGCTGGCGCAGAGGTTTCAGACTATCCAAACGACACTCCAGAAGTAGACCGTAAAGCCGACATCTCCATGGGTGCAACTATTACGCCTCTCAAAATTGACAAGTCTTCCCGTTATGGGAAATCGAGTTCTAAGAAGCACCTTTCGGGCAAGGGAGAGATTCGGGCGCATCGTGACCTCAACGTGACGATGCGGAAACGAAAACGGCACAACTTGGACAAGGATGTTGGCAGCATTTCTCGGCACAGTGGATATGAAGGCGACTCCTGGGACTCAGACTCGGACTCGGATTCGGACGCTATTGGCGTAGCTCAGAAGCCTAGGAGTCGCTCAAAGGGCAAAGGAAAGCCGGGGAAACAACAGGGATACTTCGAGTCACTTTTCTATGCGCTCAACAAGTATCCCAATACTCCAGATCACATGCAACGATGGATGCAGCTCGGCGCCAACGTGTTTCTAGTCTCCGTGTTGACGTATGTGAGCTGGTCAGTTGTAAGCACCATACGTACGGATATTTCCAACGCCAACATGGCCGCACACCAAAAGATAGTCAGCACCATGGACGCTTGTCGCCACGACTACACAATCAACGACTGTGCCAACAACAATAAACCAGCTCTGAACAAACCATGCAGCGAGTGGTATGAATGCATGATGCAAGATCCAGACGCCATCATGAGAGTCAAGGTTACCGCAAAGCAAGTGGCGGAGATTATCAACGAGTTTACTGAAACAATGCATCTCAAGGCATGGGTATGTGTTATTTGGACTGTGGTTGGGGATCAAAACTAACAGACGAAAACTAGGGGGTCATTGTGGCTATCATAGTGATATGTTCTACGGTCAATTTGAGTGCATTCAGCCGGTCACACGGTCACAGAGAGATTCCTCCTACGCCATCTCATCCAGCAGAGGATGTGCAGGACCATGTCAGGTCTCCCGGCATTACACCCGGCTACATGCTTGTTCCGGTGCAAACGCCCAGGATGCAGCGACAGGCATTGTTGGATGAGGGAACGGATACGGATAATTCCCCCATTAACATGAAACCTTACTACACGCCGGCAGGACGGCGAAGCCCAAGCAAAGGAGACAGGCAATTAAGTCCAATAAAGTATGGGCGTAGTCCAAGCAAGGAATACTAGCGACGGGTAAGTCCTGTTGTGGAAGGATGTGATGGAGGCCCATTGAGGATTTTAAGATACATTTAGGCATCAGTATGGGGTATTTAGCGTATGGTGGTTGCGCTGGGCAGGAAAACGGAAAGACGGCAGGGCATGGCATTGGATTAGGGTCGAATCGCACATGACACCAAGAAATGCAGTTTCATATGATTGTATTCATATAGGGTTGGGTTCTTTGAACTTAGCCATATTACTGGAACATCGTCGGCTGGTCGGGAACCAGGAAGAGACTTCAATGTTGGCAACATGATGCTAAGTAGCCCAATCCTGAATCGTCGAAGCGAGATCATTACATGGTGAGTAGCTGCAGTGATAGATGAGACTTGATCCATTAGGAAAGAGAGATACAACTCGTTAGTCTAAAGATATACTACCTGGGTAGTTACAAATGGCACATGGAGGTTGAGTTGATTGATGGCATTGCGTGTGTGACGCTGATACGCGTGCTTGCTTGATTGTCTAGAAGTTAAAATGTCGTGATATGGCAGGCAGAACGGATGTGTGGGCGGTCAGCCATATCCACTTGCTCCGTAATTTTTTACAAACAGGCGGACTGGCGACTGGCGACTGGCCGGTTTGTGGCCGCTGCCCACTCGTACGGTCGCACTTTCCGTTCTAATGGCTTGCGTAGGCACAACGGCTGGCTGGGCACTTGTTTGCCGGGCGGAGACCGGCCAACACCAGAGCTTTTGGCATTTTGTATCCTCGTAGACAGCGATGTGACTGCCCTTTTTTTTTTGCCCACAAAACTACCTAGGTAGTCAGGCGTCCAGACTTGCAACGTCGTGTTTACCCGAGGCGGCGAATTTTTCAACTCTTTTTTCTCGCTTTGATTGTTTTATTCTTCTTGTTTTATCATGCCCAACGAAATGAAGTAACGGGTTGGAGTACTACTCCCGTACTCCGTACAAGAGGATCAACCACGACAGCGCCTTGGCCTCCCGGTCCACGGTCGATGGTTGGATTGATGGTCAATGGGTCAATCGACGGCGCAAAGCCACAGAGAGCCGGGAGCCAAGAGCTTCAAAGTCGACCAGGGTGATGGTGTCTCATGCATATGGTCGGAGCATAACCTACTATCTCTTTAGTCTGCCCTACCGAGTAGCCCTACCGAGTAGTTTGGGGACCTTATCGGAGATGTCGACAAGCTTCGATTCCCTATCATTCCCATGGAGCGCACCGTTGTGGTAATAGCCACTCGTTGCCACAGCATTGAATGCCCATTCCCGTTAAACCGGTCCCACGTCGACAGGTTGCAGGACGCCCGCATCTCTCAACCCCCCCACGTCACGCGCCCAGACCAGTCGACATCAATTGACATTGAAAACGCGACGCTGCATGCTCGCTCAAATCGCCGCTCAGCTCACAACTCCCGTCCGCTGGTTTCCAATCCAAAAAGCCACACCCTTGGAACACTTGAATTCGATCCCATGCCGTCTCAAAAGCCGAGTCGCTGACCATTGTCTTCATTCACGGCCGCTCATCGTCCTTCTTCCCCCGCACCATGTCCTTGCCTGAATCTCATGTTCGTGGCGCTGCATCACCAAAATTCATATCTGGTTCTTTGAGGTGGTTTACAGGGGATAAATCTGTGCTGTGCGATTGGCACCAGGACGGCTTTATCTACTCTTTATTCCTGCTAGAAACTGCTTATTTGCACTGTACCTGTCACCTGGCAACATCGTGGGTGTCTCGCAGCTTGCAAACCAGCGAGCTTGGATCCAGCCCGGCATCGCTGCTCGGGTTAGACCTTGTTCGGTGCTGAACACTGGGACCTAGCATCCGACACTTGACCTTCTACATTTATATTCTTTTCCAAATTATGGACAGGGACAGCAGCAGCCATACCCCGTCGGTTCCGAGCCAAGCCAGTTCTGGCAGCACGCCTCAGGGAACCACCGGTACACAGTCTTCCCATTCACAGAACCACCCTACGCCCGTTGCGTCGTCCTCATCTTCCACAAAGCCACAAGCTGGCAACACGCAGAATTCAAAGCGGAGGAGAGGCCTCGGCGTGGTCACCCCCAATGCCTGTACAGAATGTCGAAAAAAGAGAGCAAAGGTGTGTGTATTTCGTGCACCTCTCACGTTCAAGCTTCCGCCTTTTTATTTGTGCAGATTGCTCCGTGTGCTGTGCTGATATCTCTGTTCTCGTCTTATAGTGCGACGGCCAGAGGCCGTGTGGGCGCTGCAAGGCTCAAAAGGATGTCGACTGTGTATACGAAATTCCTGTTCGCCAATCCAAAGAAAATCTTCGAACGGAGATTGAGAGCCTCCGCGTTCGCCAGCGGTCAAGCGATCAAGTTTTTGCTGCCCTGGTCCGACCAGATCTATGGGAGGAAGTACTGCGGCGGCTCCGCGGGGGCCAGTCCGTAGAAAATATATCCGACTGGCTAGGCACCGCATTGTCTTCCGATATAAGTGGTGATCATGTCATTGGCCCAGCTTCAGGCTCCGGCTTTGGGGCCGGCCCTTCCCGCAGCATAGGCCAGCTGTCTCTGGGAGTCGATACCGGGGCGGCTCAGCAACCTGGTATACGAGGCGACGTGCAGCAGAACAGTCCGTGGACAATAAGCCAAGCAGGCTCGACGAGAAGCAACTCATACACGGATGCGATGAATTGGACCTCGGATAATGCGCCCGGGCCTCCGCAGACGAGAGTAGGCTCATGGGCGGAGACCATGCCGCCAGACCATATGTCTGACTCTGCTATGCCTAGATATAGGGGTCTTGAACAAGTTCTGTCATTTATGGATGAGTCAGAAATCAAAACACCTCCTCAATCTTGGACAAGCATCACTGGCGACATAAATCTAGTCCAACATCTCCTTGCCTTGTACTTTTGCTGGGAATATCCCACGTTCGCCTCACTAAGTAAAGAACACTTTCTACAGGACTTTCAGGATGGACGCCAGAGATACTGCTCCCCAATTCTCGTCAACGCTCTCCTGGCTCTGGGGTGTCGATTCTCAACACATCCCATGACGCGGGCGAACCCCAATGATCCCTACTCGTCAGGTGACCATTTCTTTAAAGAATCCCAAAGACTATTCAACCAGGAGACGGATCACCATACCTTGACTACCATTCAGGCTCTGGGCATCATGTCCATTCGAGAGGCGAGCTGTGGTCGGGATTCAGAAAGTTGGTATTATGCCGGCCAAAGTATACGACTGGCTGTGGAGATGGGACTGCACCAAATCCAGGACGGTTTGGATGAGGATGAGCTGGCCGTCCAAGCGGCAACATTTTGGGGGGCCTTTGCACTTGACCAGTAAGTAATGCCTTGTGTTTTGAACCTAGGTCCTACGTCGGTATTAATGGTTGAATAGTGCCTGGTCCCTGGCAACGGGATCATTACCGCAGTGTTCTTGCTTCCCACACCTGCCACCCAAACCTGGCATTATAGGTAATATTGAGGCTTCGTTATGGGTTCCATACACAGATGATGGTGCGTTTACCCCTGTAAACATATATTTGAAACCCAAACATGCATAGGAGGCACCACAGATTTTTCTAACCCAACCGCACAGGAGCCCCGCTACAACGGTCTTGCGAACAGCCTTCTAATGTACGGTCCGTATACAAGTGCTTTTGTGAGCTCAGCGAGTTGGTACATCAGTCACTGTACATCCTGCACTCGCCGGGGAAGCCATTGACAGCCAGGGAACTGTTGAAGATTTACACGCAATATCTCAATTGGTATGACAGAATACCGGAAGTATTGCGGCTGGGTCACAACTTTACCCCGGCGGTGTTGTTTGCCCAGTAAGTAAGCCTGTCTGTGTTTGGTGGGTTTGGGATCTTGGATGCTGACCATAGCCCAGCATGTACTATCACTTTGCGATACTTCTTCTATTCCGTCCCCTAATCAAACTGCGCATCATTGGGTCAAAGATCCTTCCGAAGGATGTGTGTTCCCAGGCAGCCGACGCGATCCAGGGCCTCCTCACCTCATACTCACAATTATACACGCTCCGTCGTACACCTTCCTTTGTGCCATATTTCGTTCTTACGGCCTCGATAATGCACCTCGCCATTGCTGCGTCAACTGCAGTCGACGTCAACCCGGGCAAAGTCACACCTGCGGACATCAAGAAGGCAGTCAAGGTCGATTCTCGCGTGTCAGAAGTGCTCAAGAAAGGCATCGCCGATTTGACCGAAATGGCGCCGTGCCACCATTTTGCAGAACAGGCACTCAACATTCTTCGGTATCTTGCAAAGAAGTGGAGCATCGAGGTTGATTTCGACAACAGTAACCTGACGCCGGAAGATTACGACCGGTTGGTGCGGCCATATACCAGCAGTTTGAACTTTTTCGCTCCCAACGTTGGCGTGGAGGACTTTATCTGTGACTGGGGCTCAGGCAATCGGCTGGTGGGAAGTGAGCAGGGCAGGCAAGTGGAAAAGGCGGCGGAGAGCTTGCAGAACCCGTTGTTTTGGCCGTTCCCAATGCAAGGCCGACCAATATTGCCAACCGGGAAGGAGCTGGAGCAGGCTGGGTTCGCCTTGTTGAATCCGGGTAGGGACTAAATAGGTTGGAGTTTATGGGTAGGTGCATTATAAAGGGGTTTGGGGGGTTTGGGATTGTACGTTCACATCGACGGATGGATAAGTAGACGGTGGCACGGGTGCTAGGCGTCAATGGGAGTATGTTGCATGTAAAGTCGATGGGTAAATTTGATACAGGGTTGAATGGCCCTAGAATCAAGATGCATGTATTGTGCCATGATTAGGCCTTGGCACCGCCAAGCTAATTCACAATGCTGTTCCCCGCGTTTGCACGTTTCGTAAAATGTTTATTTATAATTTCTAGTTGTGTCCCCTTTTTTAAATTCTCGAAACGGGGGCGTAGGGTAGGTAACACACAAACGGCCCCTCACTCACATTCACTTAATACCTACCTACCTAGGTAGGTAGGTAAAGTAGTTACTTACCTCGGCTCAGGCCGTCGTCCAGGCCAATTGCAAAGCCGAGCTCAGGCTGTGTCAACCTCCCCTGCCATCCATCACCACCTTGGGCACATACACACACACACACACACACACAAAAAAAGAGTCGCGTGCCGTCACCCCTTACTTGCCTCCGACTCCGAGCCGCGAGCGAAACGACGACGACGACGGCATTTCACAGCCCAAACAAGGCAGCATGCCTGCTCCCGCCGCGCCTGGGGCCCAGAGACCGCGGCCCAGCGTCGGCCAGATCCTCTCCATGCCGCCGCAGTGGCTGGCCATGTACGACGACTTCATCACAAAGAATGCCGGACAGGTGTCGCAGATTGAGAGCGCCCTGCGGAGCCTGACGTACATTATCCCCGGTATGGTCATCCCGCCGCCCCCCCCAAAAAAACTACAAAAGGCGTACTAAAACCCCAGGCCCAGGCCGCTTCCGCGATGCCGAAATCGCGTCCGAGTCAATACACTCGTTTGTGCAGCTCCTCTCGCTGTACCACGACGGGCTGCTCTCGCGGGCGGTGTCGCGGCTGGCCGTGCCGCGGCTGCGGACCGCCCACGCTCGCTACACGCGCTTCTGGTCGCAGAGGAGCAAGCTGTACCGCCGCGTCGCCATGGTGCTCCAGACGGTGATTTACACGGAGCTGCTGTGCGAGATGGCGGCCAAGAGGAGGGGCGGCGAGCGCGCCCGGTGGAAGGTCGTGGTGCTGGTGGAGGGCATCAAGGCCGCGTGCAGGCTGCTGCTGCTGCAGGTCACGCGGTCGCGGCCGCTGGTGACGCCCGCTCTGCCGGAGAGGGAGCCTATTCCCGACGACGACGACGACGACGAGGATGGGGAGCCGGGGCGCGAGGGCGAGCTGCTGGACGGGGCGTCGCCGCACGGCCTGTCCGCGATGGACGCGAAGCCCCCCCACGAGCGGGAGTGGAAGATGCCCCGGACGGGCATGAGCCTGCCGTCGCTCCCGGACCCGGGCGACATCAGCTCGTACCTGCTGGGCCGGGTGCTCGCGGCCGACGACATCAAGCCGGCGAACAAGCTGCTCAACCGGCTGCGCGGCGCGTCGCGGGCCGCCGAGGTGCTGCACATTCTCGCGCCGCTCGTCTACGCCGTCGCCCTCGCGCGCAGCAGGGACAGGAAGTCGTGGACGCCGTGGGCGGTTGGGCTGGCCGTGGACTGCGCCGCGCGCCAGCTCCGCGACACGAGCCTGCGCGCGACGGCGCTCGAGAGGGACGAGTGGCAGCGCCGCGGCTGGGCCATGGCCTGGTGGGCTATGAGGGGCGCCTTTTACGACAATGTCACCAGCGGCGTCGTCGGCGCCGTCACCAGGCGCATGCCCGGCTTTGTCGCCGGCATCTTGGAGGACTACGAGTACCTGTGGGAGAACTACTACTTTAGCACCAGCGCGTAGGGCTTGCCAGGCCTTGCCGTGGTGTCTCTTCTCTTCTTTGATTATCGGCGCGGGATAGAGTAGAGGACAGCCCGGTCGATGGAAGTGCTCCTCGCGTAGGTTTCCGGCAGGGAGCGGTCATGGGATTGCTTGGCCACGTGTCACGATTATACAAGGGTTTTTGACATTTCAACCCGGAGAGAAGAACGGAACCACACAATGTTCCTGCTGTGGCCTTTGATACTGGCGCCGCATTGGGGACACATGGACCGATGTTATGGTTGGGCCGCCAAACGACGATGACATGTTTTGGTAAAAAGAAAAAATCCCACGCGGCGGTTGATTGCTGTCAAGCTGGGTGGACATTTTCCTTGTCCGGACGACTACCAGTATATAATACCCATCTCGGGCTCTAGGACAAAGGTGTCTCGCGCGCCGTGGGCGAACACCCACTCTATAATAGGGGAGTCGGACACAATCTATCGATATAGCAGCTTGCGTGACGCGCATATTGGACGCTGAGACGAGCTGGCCGTGCCTGGCTGCGGACCAAGACGCGGACAAGACGTGTACTATTTCCATTCGTCTGTGTAGTAACACATGAGCAATTTGGGCAAGAAGTTGCCAACGAGAAAACCACCAGGTGTCGATTCGGTACGCGACGTGTCGCCCACTGCGGGTTCTAGAACAGGGAGCGCACTGCAGGGAAGAAGATGGGAGCAGGCGTGTAATTACTCGCGTTTGGGCTTTCGAGACTGGCTTTGCGGAATATTCGTGTCTCGTGCCAAGGAGCTGCGTATGAAGAGGGACCGTTTGCGGCGGGGACGGGATGAAACCTGGTGAATGAACCATGGATTAGAACAAGTCTTTATAGACATGGAAAACTACGGATTCGTGTAGATGCTGGTGTTTGGCCGATATATCTTTCAATGCATGTTACGTGACACTCGTAGGGTTGCTGGGCTCTGCCGAATCGGTGCCAAGGGGAGCTTGTTGAATTTGTAGATGATGGCGTGAGAGCTGGCTGGGTCTATCACGAGCCGAAATGGGGCATGATGTGAGTTGAGTGCTGTGCTCAACAATAAACTCAAAACACAGTCTGCTACAATAGTCGGGACATATTGAAAGAAGCGAGTCCACTCGACACTCAATGCCCAAACGAAGTGGGCACATCTCCATCAAGTGGCCGTATAAACTCGGATTACATAGGACGCCTTCTCGAGTCGAAGATGAGGGCTTCCGTGAAGGCGCCGAGCTAACTGATTGGCCGACAGGTCACAGGAGGGCATACAAAGGTCGTCGATACAAGTCGTCTTCACCGCATGCTCCGACTGGCGTGTCCCCAAAGTCTCATCATCTCTTTTCTATCCCTTAAAAAGAAAGGGACTTCAACGTCATTGGTTCCCCTGACTCAGCTCAGCCTTAACTCTTTTTTTTCTCCCATGCCGCCTTCACGCAGCGGGAGATGCACAAACCTGACATGGGATGCCAATATCTTACTCTTCGTGCCACCACATGCCCGCATGGGGCAAAAGTGCCTCTCTGGTCCACAAACGTGCGAGTCGTTGACTCCCAATTACTCTGCCGCAGGTAGTTACTCCGTACAATGTGCATGGCAAGGGCATGGCCGAACTCAGTAGAATGACATCAGTTCAGAACCAATTGTATCGAACCCAAGCCGAAACACACACAGCCACCACAATTGGTGCTACAAGGTTCAGCCTTGGAGGAATCGACATAAAAATAACAATGATGTACTCCGTAGTCTGTTGACACTACACAAATAGCATCAGATTTGACGGGGAACAGGAGAGGGGTAGAAAGAGTAAACATGATCAGCAGGAGATCTGGATATCGAGGGCGGCGGTGCTGTGCCGAAACAAGCTATTATCTAGGGTTGCATTTCGGAAACAGTGGTCGCAGGCGTGTAGAAATGATTTGCAGCCGGGGTTTGTTGTGATCTTCTCTGGCTAAGGCAATGTTTGCAGGCCTATCCAAGCAGCTGAATGGGATGTGATGTAATGTTGCCTGTCGTTGATGTTTATCCTCGGCAAGCATCTATGCTCCGACACCCCAGTTCTCGGGGGTACGACGAATGATAACTCTCGGCGCACGCTCATGGTCAAGAGTCAGTGTGCATCGCAGGCCAGCCTTTGCTAGCGGGCTGGACCTTGACCATGACCTGGTCCCGTGTTTCACCTTCTGATTTAGTCCAAAGATGGACGAACTAGGGTCATGTCGCGTTGCGCCAGGTGGATAATCATCCAAAGAGAGAGAGGCCAAGGCTTCGGCAACACGGCTGGTCCATGGCTTCAAGAGAAGGAGAAACCGAGAAGACGGAAGAAACCCCTGAGGGATATTCCTTGCCTATCAGAGCTCGACACAGGAGGAATATTTGCCATCGCGCAGCTCAGGCAGCTCGAGCACAGACAACTTGTTGAGTGAACCAAGGTTTATGACTTCAGCACACTCTCGGCCAACGGGCCGAGGCGTGCCGCAAAGAAGCCGAATACACCAGTGAGGAGTATGATCGTAGAAATCGTCTGAGGGACAAGAAAGAAAGCAAAAGCAAGGGAAGCAGAAAATGCAACTACACTTGCCATCGCTTGTCGAAAAGAGGTGGTGTGCTTGTGTCGTGTCTAAAAAAAGGCGAGACATGAGTATGCAAAACGTGAACCGCCCAAGCTGAAAGGCGAACAAGGCGGCCAAGGCGACGTTGAGACTCGCACTCACTGCCTCTTGACACGTCATTTTCAGCATGTGCAGCATGGCAATATCCGGCCATGGTAATAGAATCGAGCCATGGACCAATGTAGTTTGCACGCAGTGGCCGCGAGCAAGCAACGAACGTCCCGGCTCAAGGTCGGACAAATCGCCCTCCAAACATCGAGGCCAAAATGTCACAATCGGTAAAGGATAAGGCACCCAGGCCAATAGGATAGGAATCCATACAACAAGGAGCCACTTGTTCAAGGGAGCGGGAACCCTCCTTCTAATGGCAAACCACAACGAGCCGAGAGGCAGGACTCTGAAAAGAAACAGAGTTGAGCCAAAGATCAATAGTTGCTCATAGCTCCTGCTAACCAGTGGCATGCATGTGCGGAAACCGACCCGAGCGGGAAGTGGATCTGAATTCCTTGTTGGATTGTTCTGTACAAGACGGAGTCGATGCGAACAGCCCAACAAGGGGGTTCGTGGAAGTATTGTTTATTATCCGGTTATTTGTTGGCCCCAATACCGCCGGGCAAATCGTCTCCCCTCCATCGGCCTTGATATCATACATGAAGGGCCGACACAAGTGCTAGATTGGATGACGCTCTTGCTCGTCGCTCGATAGCCAGCAGAATGAAAGGAAACTTCCTCTTGAGGGGAGTGAAGGGATCAAAAGCCAAGGTGGAGCGCAGACGACCGCCTTGCAGCAGAACGAACTGGGCAGTGCGGCCGCAATGCAGACGCAGACTACGATGAGGTTCGGAGTGAAGTGAATGGGCATTGCTGGTATTGACATTAAGATAATCCCTTGATGAGCCCAATTCGAGCAGTTCATGTCGTAACCGAGGCGGCTAACTGTCAAACCCGAGCCTGGAAGCATTGCCGCTGATAATATTGCCATCAAGTTGTGACGTGATGACGGCTGTTGTAGCAAATTCTCCAATCATGCCCTCGGTAAATGACAGACCATGTCTGAGAGCCGATGGACTCGCACCGCATTTCTTCGCTGCCGCCCGCCCTGAGCACATTGCCCCGTCTGACGCAAAACACATTTACTCATCTTGTGCAATAGATCTTTCAGCATGTAAGCTATGTGTAAGATGCTTTTTGAGTGAAGAATGGGGCTTCAGCTTACCTAGCAGCAGTGGGTGGGTGTATGGCAGTACAATGGACGCGTAGAATGCTGAAGTCCCATACCAAAAAAAGAGAAAACAAGACTTGAAAAAGTTAGCCGTGAATCAGACCCCAATAGCTGTTTCGTGATACGAGAAGAACAGGAAATCGCAACTCACAACAAGGGAGATCCATGTGGCCTTGATATTACGGATCAGAGGCTGATGTCAGGTCCTATGCAGACGGAGGACCGGCCGAAGTTTCGTTCGCGCAAGCTGGTGTGGTGGGTATGTTCTCGTGTCACTGTAGGGAAGGATTTCCTGCCGGCCACGATTGTTGCAACCGCATCTGATATGGCCATTTGCTTCGGCCTCGCCTAGGCGAGCTTACAGCCCTCATAACGGGTAGGACTAGTCCAGCGGCATTGTATACTTGAAACTCTACAAGGCCAACACCACGGGAAGAAAAGTAACCTCGTGGCAACAAGTGGATCGTGGTGCCTGGAGAACTCTATACTGGGACGCTCCCCCCCCAGCCACTGACGAAAGGATCCAAGTCGGGACCCTGCTATGGCGCGTATCTGGGAGCTTGGTAGGAAACTTGCAAAGCAATCTAATACGTATGATGACATAATTGTTGATTTGAAGATTGGCGAAGGCAAGTTGGGACGAGAGAGTGAGCTTGATAGGTAGAGCTTCGGGCAGCTGCCAGCAATCTCCGAATGGTCTACGGATTCGCTGCACCTCGTATCGCGCAAATTGTTAATTTTTAAACTTCGGCCTAGTTGCTCTAGACTCACGTCCTACTTACGGTAATTGTACAAGTGGATGGATCTTTGCAAGTCTCTAACCGAATCTGTTCATGTACATAGCCGTATATTGGGGGATTCAAAAGAAAAGAAAAAAAAAGAAAAGAAAACAAACAAAGAACAATGCCATGTTGCTCTTTGTTGTCTTGGAGAGGGTTTCGTTTGTATGGCGCGGAATGAATATTTCACGGAACTAGCCATCTTTTGGGCGCAACCGAATTGCTTTAGACCGCGATGGAAAGTCGAAGGATGTCTATTTGAAACAAAGTTGAGAAAATGGAGCTGAATGAGAGCCCGGCCAGATCGTTCGTGTTGTGATTATAAAGAGCAGACCTAGGGGTTAACTAGAAAACCTGCTTGCTCCAAGATTGAGAGATGGGGTGTTGTT